GAGACTCTCATGTTGAACAGGCAGGGCAGGGTGAAAATGTTCACTTGATGGTTCCTTGCCTGATCTGACCCAGGGAACTGGCCTTTGCAGCTGAGCTGGAAAGAAAAAAACCTGTTAAACACCAAGTTTCAAACAGCACCCAAGTCTCCAAAAGCAACAGAACGTGGCTAGGGTATCCCTCGTTTTTCTCAGCTCTTATCGAGAAAAAGTAGAAATAATGTGATATCATCAAAGGGCTGCTCAGCCGTTTAGTATTTCAATGTTTGCTCTTTCTTGCAGTCACCTTCGACCATTTTGAAATTTTGAGAGCTATTGGGAAGGGCAGCTTCGGAAAAGTAAGTATTTTGTGAACAAATCACCATTTTGACAGCTGGAAATGTAAATGTAAATGGGCAAATGAGAGGCTCACATGAGAGTAAAGAAATAAACCCCTGCACCACCAGTGAGCTTTGGGCTGAGCTTCGTCTCCTGGTCATCAAGAAGGAGCCAGAGCCCGATTCCTCTTCCATTCTGTAGCCACAAATTATATTACAGGAGATTAAAATGACATACTGGTAAGTCAAATGAGCTGAATTTCATTATGCTTCTGGATAAGCATTTCCTAAGATCTCCCAGCATAGCAACACTGAACATCAGGATGCATCTTCATTGAAGAACTGCAATCAACATGAAAGCCCTGGCTATTTTTTTCAGGGGATATTTCTCTGAAACACAGTGTTTGTTATTAAGCACCAGGTTATGGTCCTAGGTTGGTTTCATTTTTGTGCTGTTACGGAATTCCACGCTTGTGTACGCCGACAGAATTCTGGACGGTCATTTGCCTCTCGCGTACAGGCACTGCCACGCCAGAAATGGGGCATGTCTTAGGAGACAAAGGTTCTTTGTGAGCTGAATGAAGCTTGAATGAAGGGGGGATCAGGTGCTGCTCCCGTTTCTGACCTGCAGGTCTGCGTGGAAAGGACTCCTCCAAACAGTAACTGCCGTGGGAGGGACGGACACTACCAAGACCAGTCAGTGCTGTTAAAGGAAATGTTGACTCATGCGTGATTCCCTGTCTCCTCTCTCTGTGGTGATAAATTCCTTCCCCTCACCTTCCCACAGAAGAATCTTCTTTGGCTGAAGGTGGGGTGAGGGGTTTACTGGCGATGCCCAGCGCTGTGGCGTCAGAGCTCGGAGCTGTGCCTTGGCCGCGCGGGCTCTGCTGAAGCCGCTGGAGAACGCTCCTGTGACCGTGCTTTGCCTGCCTAACCCTGCTGACAAACCCTCTCTGATTTACCCCCATTTGCTCTCGTAGGTCTGCGTTGTGCAGAAGAATGATACCAAGAAGATGTATGCCATGAAATACATGAACAAACAGAAGTGCGTGGAGCGCAATGAAGTGAGAAATGTTTTCAAGGAGCTGCAGATAATGCAGGGCCTGGAGCACCCCTTCCTGGTCAATTTATGGTGAGATGCTGCTCCTTCGCCCGTGGGCTAAGTCAGCGTGGTCGGTCAGAGGCAGCTTCGAGACCAGGCTTAGGGCTGCACACCCATTGTGGGAGCGGCAGTGCTTCTCGTCACCTCCCGATTCAGATTTTGTGGTTAATTTTGCACTTTAAACAGCCTGCCTTAATACCTTATTGATATTTGGTGCTCATCAGCAAAGATAAAAGCAATTCATCATTGAATTTACTGACAGAAAAATAATACCATTCAAGTTTTATTGCAGAAACCCATCTATCTGCTGGGGAAATGTGTACTTAAGAGTCTCTTTCCTTTAAGAGTACCCGATAAATGCAACCCACATGCTCTGGTTATAGTCATTTTTCAACCATTAACGTTGGGATTGACCAGCTGAGAGATGAAGGATGCACTAATTCTTCCCCCTTTGTTGGATTCAGAGTGTTTTCCCGCAGAGGGGCAGCAGAAAGGAATTTGAAATAAGACTCTGTTACTGTTGGAGTCTGACAGGTTAATTTTATTAGGACACCGGTAACATTTCAACCGGTCTCATACCCCACATGATCTAGTGGCCAACATCCTGTAGTTAGTGAAAAAGCCCCAAGAGAGGACAAGTATTCCCAGAGGTACCATTATCCCTTTTAACCGGTCTTTTTTTAGTGTTACAATCCCTGACCTGTGCTCACGCCGTTTCAGGTACTCGTTCCAGGATGAAGAAGACATGTTTATGGTTGTAGACCTGCTGCTCGGCGGGGACCTGCGCTACCACCTCCAGCAAAATGTGCGGTTCCAGGAAGGCACTGTGAAACTCTTCATCTGCGAGCTGGTGCTGGCCCTGGACTACCTCCAGCGCAGGAGCATCATCCACAGGTCAGCCGGGACGCGGGGCGGGACTGGTGCCCGTGGGCTGCAGTGGGGTGGGCTGTTCCACTGGGACACCGAGGGACAAACAGAAGCTTCAGAGAAACTTGTTTAATTAACAAGCAAACAAAATATTCTCCCATGTATGTTTGCTTAAATGTCAAACACCAGGCTTCCTAGAGAAAAGCATTTTGTGCATGAGAGAGAGCGTGTCATTCCTCCCTCGGGGATGGCTATGACATAGAGTCTATGATTTGTTTGCTGATCCTGCAAAAACTCTCTAATAGGTTTAATTAGCTGTAGCTCCTTAATACCTATCCTGGCCCAGGGAAGGTAGGTGTTGGTGCTCACAGTTCCCCTGCTGTCGCGCGGGAAGGTGTCTCCTTTTGCTCCCCTCTCTGCACCGCACCGAGAGACGAGGAACAAGACGGACACAGCTTGGTTCTGCGGGGGTTAAACCCCTTCCAAGGGATGGTCAGAGCTGCTCTTTGGCCGCCAAGATTTCTCATGGCCACTGATGAGATATTTGCGCTCTTCTCACACATCTGAAGCCCTGCAAATAACCGAGGAGGAGCTGAGCTTTCCCTGGAGGGACAGGCAGGGTTGGCTCCAGACGGACGGATGGACAGATGTGTGCTGCTCCCTGGGGCTGTGCTGGGTCCAGGGTTTGAGTCAGTGGCTGCTGATGGGGGTATCAGCCAGGAGGGACTAGCAGAGGGTTAATGAAGGCAGGGAGAAGATTATCTCATTTATAACTACCACTCCAGAAGAGCATCCTTTGAGGTGTAAAAGCAAAGCATGGCACAAAATTTAGAACTGAGATGATCCTGGTTGTTGGGCAGGGAAGGAGCACGCTGCGGAGGGGCTGGGGAAGATTAACACTCGTTCGTGTCTGTGGCATGTGGCTGCAGTCTCCGAGGTGTGACAGCCCAAGGGCTGAGGCTTGGCGTGCCTGCAGCATGCCCTGCGCCGTGCCGAGAGCCCCAGAGCCCAGCGAGGTTTTGCTCTGCGGCAGCTGCAGCCAGACCCCTTGCGGACGGCCCCCGTGTTCCCAGGAGTCTCATCTTTCCTGCTCCCTGTTTTGTTTTGTACCTGCATGGATTTCTGCTCTGATGCACTGGATCCTGGCTGGTGGGACGTCCCCACTGCCCCAGGCTGCGGCGGGCGCTGCCGTCGTGGGGACACGGAGCCGGTGTGCGGTGACAGGGACATTGTGCTGGCCACCCCCACGCAGCACCTGCTGCCGGCACCAAATAATGGATGAGCGTGAATTAAACATTGCGGGATGCGCTCGCCGCCTCTGTCCCGGGCAGCGAGGGGCGAATCCTGGCGCTGTTGGCATGGCCTGAGCAAACCGAGCGGGACAGAGGGAAGCTCAGGGGAGAAGCCCTCCTCTGTTGGCAATGTGTTGCGATCAGCAGCAGCCGTCATCGCTGGCAACCACCACGGCTGCAGCGGCTGCGGCGTGAGGGCAGGTACGAGGAGGAGCCGAGGGGCAGAACCCCGGGGCTCCCCAGAGGCTGTTTGTAAGCGCAGGTGGGAACAGCGGAAGGGGAGGCTGCCGCAGCGTTGCGAGCAGCGGTACGTGCCAAAGGTGAACCGAGTACAGTAGAGCACGTGTGGCAGGCTGTAAAATCTGCAAGTTATTTAACTGACACTGTGATGCCCGTTGTGTAATTAGCACTGTGACCCCACGGGACAGGGATAGATGGATAAAGTGACTCTGCTGAGTCGATGACACCATCTGTAGCATCAGGGAGAGGCAAGCGATTTGTCTGAACAAAGCCGTGCAGGGACAGCAAGCACAGGGTGACGGCTGGAGTTCTCCCCCACGTACACGTCGAAGAGTCGCAGGGAAGGTGGCTGGTGTTGGTAACCCACTGGAAGCCGTTTGAGGGAGAAGATGCCAGAGAACTGTAAGCGGTGACATAATTAGATCTATTGTCTTTTCCTGATTCCAGGGACCCAGGTGAATTCAAACTTTATCTTGGTGATTTTTAAAGATGAAATCCCAAACCTGCTCATTTCTTCCCTGTGAGCCCCTGGCCTGGTGGGGGGCTCCGGGATGGTGCAGGGTCACGGCACGCTGCTGCGACAGCCTCCAGACGGGCATCGAGCTGCTGGAGCCGGCTCAGGCTGACAGCGGGTGAATGGGGACCGGTGTAATGAGCTCATTAAAGCCAGTAATGGCTTGTAAACGCACTCGGGCGGATACAGCAGGAGTATCAGGTGTTCGTTTTCTCCCTTCAAAAAAAAACCCTACAGCGTTGCCATAGGTATTATTATTTTGGTTTGGTTTGGGTTTTTGTTCAGGAACAAAACCTGCCAGGACCCCACTTGTTTCTAGATCAAAGGCATTAAAATAATTTTATTTTTGCTGAGTAAATGGGGAACAACTCTCAGTGTAGTACTGAAACAGTTTAAGAAGTAAAAGGAGGAAGAAGATAAAACAAAGCTCTGACGTTGTAGGTGGACCATGTGGGTGCTGCTGGTCCAAACCACAGCAGCCTTCACAGCCATAGCCCTGGGCCACCCTTTCTGCTTTTTTTTGATTAGTCCTTCTCTTACCCTGAACCCAACCCTGCAGGAACATCAGGGCAGGAGAGCCCGGCGCAGACCCCTCCGGGGCAGGGTGTCTCTGGGGCGGGGGTTCCCTGCAGGGTCCGCAGCCATGTCTCGTGTCACTGCTCCGGGCTAACCGCTGTCTCCCCTTCTCTGCCTCTTTTTCTCAGAGACATCAAGCCTGACAACATTTTGCTGGATGAGCACGGTAAGTGCCAGTTCTCTGTGGCCGTGCGTATGGGTGACGGCAGAGTCAGAATCAGGACATCCAGCTAGCGTGTGGGTGCTGGCTTTTTCCTCTCCCTCGGCTCAGCTGGAGTGGGACCATCCCGTCGCGCTTTCGTTGCCATCTCTGGCTTTCTGAGCAGCCGGGTCGCGTGCCTTCAGGGCGCGGGGCACCCCGTGGTGCTGCGGCGTTTCGGGGGTGTTCAGTCATCACCTCCTCTGACCGACTGACCCAACGGTGTCTCTAGATAGCATCAGGGAGGACAACACATTCTGTGCAGCTAGTGGTCTGTTGCCTAGCAGACCTTAAGACCTTCTTGACTCTTGCTTAAAACTTACTCAAAATGTAATGATTTGAATGGAAACACTCATGTAGCTGCAGGCTGTGTGTACTGTGTGCCCCCAAACAGAATGAATTATGGTTGAATACATAATCTTCATTCAGATATTTTCTTTTTCTTTGAGCATTTGACATTGGGAGGGAGATCTGAAGAGGACTTGGGGTCGGGTATCTTATAGATGTTGCTATCATTTTTTCTTTAGTCTTTTTCTCAGGCAAAACTCTAATTATATTCTTGCAGTACTCTCTAGACACAGGTTTTGTCCTGGCAAAGCTCTCACAGTGAAGAGTTGTCTGATATTTATTAGCTTTTAAGCCATTAGAAAAACACTTTGTCATTTCAATAATTTTTGAAAATCCGTGTAACTGTCTCATTGTGAGAAATCTTCATTAGCAACTACAGTAAGGCATTCAAAGAGAGGAAGTCAGTGCAGGGGCAGGGCGTATCTGAATTCATTATCACTTCAGAGGCTGTGGCAGAGATGCTGAAGCTTTGGAGGGATCGCCGCGGCTCTCCTGTGCGACTGGGGTTGCCTGGCAGCACCCGAGCCCAGACGCTGCCCGTTTTGCATATGACCTCTAATTTCAAAGTGCCGGCTGATTACTTATTTAGGAGCTGCCAGCAAAGCTGCTTCTGCCTCTGCGTGCAGCAGCCTCTCCCCTGCCCCGCCCGGTCCTTCTCCTGCCATTGCCCCACGCACAGACCAAAGCCGAGCCCCGTCCTCCCTCTGCCCGTGCCCACCGACATGCTGTGCCCCCTGGTCGGCTGCTCCGGGGCCACCCCCAGCCCTGCTGCGGTGCCGCTGGGGAGCCACGCTCGTTCCGTCCCCACCCACGGACACTCTCGGGTGACCTGTCACCACCATCCAGGCACTGCCTCTGCGCCGGCAGGACGGGGTGACACCCGGCAGGGAGCTGGGAGCACTGGAGCCACGGAGATGTAGGTCAGCATCCCCCACAGAGGGGAAAAAAGAGAGGGGGAAAAAAGCTCAGCTTGTCTCTGGAGCTGCATTCAGCTCAGCGGGCTGTAATGACACTGCAATTTGGGTGATTTTTGAGCCCATTCTCTGCTCGCTGTGATGCTTTAACTGTCTGCTGCAGAGCTTTCAGAGTTACTTTCTGTGGATGTACCCTTGGCTTCAGTGACCATGGATGCTTGTACGTCTTTTCTTCATCCATGGCAGCAAAGGTGTGTCCGCTCATGCATAGCGCTCAGGATCAGGTTTTTGATCTGGTTCAGGTTTTTGATGGTACCAGTGCTTCTCACGGTGCCAGGCGCTGGGATGTGTTCGTTGTGCTGCTGCTGTCTGCCAGGAACTCAACACACCCTGTGCGCTGGGCTCTGCCGCCTGGCCACTGGCAGTCTGCATTACCGTGCCAACTTCATCCAAGGCGTTAAAGTGAGCCATAAAGTGGAATATCGGGCAAGTCTCTTTCTGTGCAATAAATAAAGCAATGGTTTGACAGCAGAGGCTGGAACCAGGTCCCACAGTGAGCACACCTTCAGCAGTCATTCCAGGCACAAAGTGGTCTCCTCCTTTAATGAGAAGTCTATCGATTTGGCTCAATGACAGCACAGCTCAGCTGAGAATAAAAGAATATCACAGATGGCAGGTTCCAGGAATTGTCACTAATTCATCTGGAATTTGGGGGCAGGTCATTTGTCTAATAAAACGGAAGCAAAGATCAGCTTTATCTCCAGTAAAACTGAGAGGGTTTTTGCAAGAGCCCTGTAAAGGCTTTGCTCAGCATTATTTCTTGTACCGCTGCTGAAAGGTTCTCGAGGGCAGTGCTGAACTGGGTGAGCTTGTGCCAGTGCGGCGCTGCAGGCAGGGCCCCTTTGCTCTCTGGTCTCAGGTGGGGAAGTTGCGGCACCGTCTGTCCAGGAGCCTCCGTACCCCACAGCTCCTGGCATCTCCAGTTCCATATTCCTTAGAATGTTGTCTTAGGTGAATCTGCAGACACCTTGTATGTTTTTGCACAAAAGATGCTCTAGAAAGGTGGAGGAATTATGCAGTAACAGAGGTGCTGAAGGTAATAAGAAGATTCTTTGCGTCAATGCAGAACCAGAGGCTTGATCTAAAGTGCCAGTTTCAGGCACATGGGATGAGCTCCAGGAAGGACGTGGTGTGGAGCACAGCTCTGCCTGGGCTGCTTCGGAACCAGCTGGGGATGCTGAGCAATCAGGAAAACCTTAAAGTCCAACCCAGCCGCCAGCACTTCCCTCCTGGGTACCAGCAATGCCATCCCTGGTCACCCCATCCTGTAACGCTGCCTTGTCGCACCCTCTGGAGCCGCCTTCTCTTCCTCAGCCTCCCTGGCCCCGTTGGCCATTTCCCAAGTGGGCTAGTTCATACAACTTGTGATTTATTTGAAGCGAAACATTTAAAAGGTGCCTCCAGAGAAAGGCATGTTTGTGCTTGGAATATGAAGTTCTTAATCAGTCTTTATGATTCATATTTGTGCAAACAGCTCCCCACAAAGCGGAGTGAGAGCTGGAGATGAAAGAAGGAACAATGCAAGGACACAGAGGATGCAGCCAGACAAGACAGTTACGTTCATCTTTTCTCCCAGTGCTCCCCAGTGCTGTGACCCCTGTTCCTCGGTGGGCATCCTGGGGCAGGGGCTGCGGGTTTTGTGATGCTGTGTATGCAGCGAGGGGGATGCATGCTCTTGGCGGGTCAGTCCGGCACCACACGAGAGGCTCCGACACCACTCAGCTCCCCAGCAGCGCCCATGGCTCCCAGAGGGATCTCGAGTGTCCCCTTCTTCCTTCAGACCCCAGCCTGACAGGCACCGCAGCCTGGACAGGGAAATCCGCCGCAGCCCGGAGCTGCAGAGACAGTTCCGACCCAAACGCAGCGGCACACTGGTGTGGCTGGGCTCACATGGCAGATACCTGGGCACAGCTGTAACGACTCACTGAAATGTTTCATAGCATCCAGAGAACAGAAGTTCATTACCAAAGCATCCTCCTTTAGACAGAAAAAAGAGATCTTATTCTACTTTAACTCCTGAACTAAAGCACCAGTGAATTTCTGTCTGTGGGAGCTGGAGACCGAGGGAAGGATTGTCACAGCCTCACCATCAGCAGAGAGCCACATGGATTTGATTTCTGTGGTCAGGGGAAACAGCAGCAGTGCAGCCGCCCTCTGCTACTGCAGAGGAGGGTGATGAGTCTGCAGAACAACGTACGAAACATCTGATGCTCCTGATAACGAGTCCAGCTCTGTCAGGCATGAGCAAGTTCAGTGTCTTAAGAGCAAATGCATGAGGTCAGGAAGAAGAAAAGTCTGCTTGCATTTAATCAGAAGAATTAGGCTGAACTATCCAAGAAGTTTCAAATAAATCCACTTCAATGAAGTCAGCCTCGTATCGATTATCTGTACGGCTGCACAGGATTGGTCTGCTCACTGATGGGAGCTCAGTGAACAAGGAGTAATAAATTCAGTGCAAGTAAAAGAGCAGGCAAGAGCAAGGTGGAAGCATTTCCTTTCTGATCTTTCAAATCGCATTGAAATGTGCTGGCTTGTGTCAGGAGCCACAATTACACAGCTGGGATGCAGCATCACTGCACCACGGGGTGTGGATAGAGCTCATCCCGCAGGATCTCTGATTCATCTTTTCAAGGGGGTGACAGGTGCTTCAGCCCGTTCCTGCAGATCAGGCAGTCGTTAGCTCCTATCGTTAGCCCAGCTTTGGAAAACCTGAAGCCATGCTTTAGAGGGGCACCAGGCGCTCACACGCTTCCATGGGAAGTGAGGAGTGGGCTGCCCAAATTTAGAAAGACTCAAAACAATAATTATTAAATGACTTGTCAGAGAACTCAATTTTTTTGCTCCCCAAAGGGATATAAGGGGATATTTGAGGTAACAAGACACATCTGTAAGCAGCCTGAAAGCTGAAATATTTTCTGTCAGTTCTCCCACCAGTTTGGTTTTTTTTCCTGCAAACTCCTTCCCATAGAATATTTTACTCTAAGTTTCTGATTCAGAGCTGTTTCTCATGTGAAATTAAAGCAAATGAAGTTACACGTTGACCTCTGTCTTTCAGGACACGTGCACATCACCGATTTCAACATTGCCACCATGCTGACGAAGGAAATCCAGGTCACCACCATCGCTGGCACAAAGCCCTACATGGGTAAGCACCGACGGCAAGTCTTTAGTTGCTGTGTTTTGGGCCGGATCTGACAGCTGTGGCGGGATACAGATGAAGTGATTTTTTATGAGTTTAACTCTTTTTTTTCCTGATACATAACAAAATGCGTGAATTTGATCGAAATGAGGAACAACCTCGAGAGGTGCTGGGGGGCAGCAGGACGGGGGTCCCTCCCCAGTCACACCTTGATGCAGCTGGAAAATGTGCGGCCGTCTGCTGACCTCACGCAGCAGAGCGAAGCAGGCGCAGTGCAAGCACAGATTGCAGTGCCGTTATGTCCTACCGCACAGCGTGGCTTTGATTGTGAGACAGTTGCACCCTCGAGATCTGCAGTGCAGCCCTGCAGCAGTGATGAGATGCTCTCGCTGCCCTCCAGAAGGAAAACGAAGCACCAAGGCTTGTGTTCGGTCCTTTGGTACGTGAGCACAAGTCTTACACTGCTGCATCACTAGCTGATAATTTGGATTTTGTATAAACCGGGTGCTTGACGGACTGGTGTCACCCCGTGTTCGGGGCAGGTGAGCGGAGCTCAGCTCGCCAGTTCCTGGGCTGCAGGGAACCCGCCTGCTCTGGCTCGTGCCCACCTCGGCGGTGTTTCGGTAGAGAACCGTTCCACCAGCCACAGGCCATGGTTCTGAAGCATGAAAATTACCAAAGGCGCGGCAGCAGGTAACACGCTAACCCGTGCCCATGGCGGACAGCAGGGACGTGCCCCGCGGCGTGGGTCACACAGTCTGCGCTGGAAATTTCCTCTGGAGGTGGCAGCAAGGCAAACTTCCCTTTTTCTGTGTTTCGCAGCACCTGAGATGTTCAACTCCACAAAGCCCACCGGCTACTCCTTCGCTGTGGACTGGTGGTCGCTGGGCATCACGGCTTATGAGCTGCTCCGCACCCGGGTACGGCGCGAGGCTCCGTCCCGTCCCACCGCCGCTGTCCTCCCGCGCACCGCGGGGACCAGGATGTTTGTGACAGGGACACGGGGACATGGGTCTGAGCCGCAGTCGATCGAGGCTTTAAGGGTTATTGCAGTGTAGGAAGCAGAAACCAAATCTTCACCAGGGCTGCTGTGATCACAGCTGAGAGCTCAGGGAAACTGTCGCGATACAGAGCAGTGTGTCACGATAGTTCCCTGCTGCGCCCGAGGCCTCTCGTTTGGCGGACGCTGGGCAAGGGAAACTGAGATGATTAACAGCTCCCATGTAATTTACTTTGAGCTCCCACCCTGCAAGGGAAAAAGAAAAAATTGGAAAAAAAATCCCCTTGCTGTTGTTTGAGCGAAAGCAAACAGCGACGCATAAATTATCAACAAAGCAGAACCCCTGCCTGCCACATCAGTGTCCTGTGGAGAGCTCGGGTGATGCTGGGGGCCTGGTAGACAGACGGTTAGGTTAGTGTTCTGGGAGTGCTGTGTGAAAAAAGTGCAACAAAATTATTTAAATTATATTATTTTAAGCAAAAGGCTGTTTAAAATCTTGTATGGCCAGGAAGCTCACATACGAGCGTGCAGAACACCTTTTGAGAAATTCTATCATCAATCTTTGCGGAATGCATAAAAAAAATTTATGAATATATTTTAAAGAACAGCTTTTCAGATGAATTTGAGTGTCTCGATTTGTGAGTGATCAGTCAGTACGCATTAAGGGGAGACGGTTGTCTGAGCTGCTGGGTGACTGAAGCCATGTGTCCCCAGTAAATGTATTAATGTAACATCTGAGTTTCCCGTTTGCGATGATAAACAGACTGCAGGACAGCTCATCACATTGATTTTTGGCATGACGGCACTGTTTCCACCGGCGGGAGCAGAGGTGCTGCCAGGCGTTCCTGCTGGCGGTATTTTGCTCATTTCAACGGAGGGACGACGGCACAGGGGGAGGCGTTTGATGGGAGGCTGGGGGCACGTACAGAGGGACTCTGTCTGGAGCCTCTGCTGTACAAAGGTTTGCCCGGGGGGTGTGAAGAACAGGTAAATCCAAGCGCTTTCCCTGTGTCACTTTTCCCAGAGGCCGTACCACATCCGCTCCAGCGCTCCTGCGGCTGAAATCGCCCGCGTGTTCCGCACGGCCACAGTGACGTACCCGGCTGCCTGGTCGGCGGACATGGTGTCGCTGATCAGGAAGGTGAGCGCAGCCGCGGCGGGGGCGCGGGGCCGGGTGCGGTGTGCCTGCTGAGAGCAGCCGCGTCCCTCCGGTGCAGCAAAGGGCGTCCAGACCCGCTGTCGGTGATTCAGACCGTGCCGTATGGTCAATACCCGGCTTCCAACGATGTGGCCGCAGTGACGTGACACCCACCCAGCGGCACCGCATCCTGTGCCGACAGGCGAGGATGTGCTGGCAAGCGCGGCTGCTGCTGACGCCGATGAAGGATACCTGCAGTCTTTGCCTCCAGAGCTTCTCCTATACCTTTGTCTCTCTGGGATGATGTAACTTAGAAGTAGACATTAATATATGTGCCAATAAATTTGGCAAAAAAATGCATATTTTTTTTATTTTTAAAAAGCATTTTTCCCAATAATGAAAATACTTGCAAGAATCACTGATACTATTGGAATCCTTTGATGCCATGAGGTTTATGCACCACTGCAATTATTTTTTAATAAAGCTGTTATCAAAATTGCTTCAAAATCATTACTGGAATAATTTTGAAGCTGAACTAATGTTTGAAGTGAAGCCATAACTTCAATAAACAAAACTATTGCTTGACGGTGTCAGACACTGTTTGGATACAGTGGCAGCAAAGCTGAAAAGCTGAACCCTGCACAACAGTGCTAGCTGCAAATTTTGGAAACTCTGTAAATAGTTTTCTAATTTTGAAACAAGTGTGGGCAGTACAGTAGTACTTAATGTAGCTTTCCTCTATTTCTTGTTCCAAATAGTATGTAGGAGTATTTTGTCCTCCCTAGTGAGATATTCTCAAACTTTTTAATGAAAATGAGACATCAATTCTTTGCTGAGATAGACTCGTGGCGTATTTTCCAAAAAGAAAATTGAAGAATATCTCCATTTGTTTAAAATTAAGTGGAGCTAATATTTCAGTAATCCTAACAGAGATACAGGGATATTTTCTGCAGATATCCTCTGTGTTGCTACGCTGGAAGTTTTTCCCTGGAACACAGCATGCCGCAAGCCATGTAGGCTCCCTTGTGAATAAATAATGCAATGTCACAATTATTTAACTTCCCGAGTGCCCCTTTGCATCCGGTTTAACAGCCAGATGTATTCTATATGAGGCCAGCGGTGGTTCTGTCCTAGCTCAGACATCTCCGGTGAGTTTTTGTATTTACTATTGTTCAAGGCGAGTGATCAGTTGCAGCAGAGCCGCACCACGGCCGTGTCCCCGCCCCAGCCATTACCTGGTGTGCCTGGCACAGACACATCTGTACCCACCGAGACCCTGATTTCACCTCTCAGGGTCTCACTTTCTCACCTCTTCCCTTTACCTCCTGCTGCAGTTGCTGGAGCCGAACCCCGAGAAGCGTTTTTCTCAGCTGAAGGATGTCCAGGGCTCCCCGTACCTGTCCGACGTGAACTGGGATGCTGTTCTCCAGAAGAGGATAATGCCGGAGTTCATCCCCACGGTGAGGCGGTTTGGTTTTGAAAGGGTCTCACTGTGCCCAGCCGTTGCCCCCACCGGGTGCCGGATCACGGAAAGTTCTTGCAGATTTCCACAAGAGATGTCATAAGGGACAGGGGAGAAGAGAGGCAAAGGAAACAGGTCCACTTTCCTGTGGCCGTGATAGAGAGTAACGGGGGACGACTACACAGTGTGGGTGCTCTGTTTATAGTACTCACAGAATTTCTGGGTGCAGAGCCGGTCTGACGTGCTCCGGACTGTCCACGGCATGCTGGACGAAACCCGCTCCCAGCACTTGTGACCCGGCCGCTCTCCACAGCCCTGCGTGGGCTGGCTCTTCGATTGCAAAAACTCAGCGACCAGACACAGGCTCCTGGGCAGCCTGGACACCACTCGCTGTTTCATAATTGTTCCTTCCTGTAATGACTCCCTAACAAGCCCATTGTTCATAGTAAAATGACAAATACAGTAGATTAGCGTCTCTGATCCTTTTTTAATTGGATTAAAACAGCACAGAAGCAACACAACCCTTATGGAAAATAATCCAAAGACTGTTGTGTGCAGTGTTGCTCCGACTGTTTTTCAGCCAAACTAAAGCTGGGCTAAGCTATGAATATTTGCTAACTGTATTCCCCCTCCGTTGCCAGTTTTCCCTGTGGTAGGTGTACGCTGTCGTGGCTTAACCCATTCGGCTGGCAGCAAACACCACGCAGCCGCTCACCCCTCCCAGGGGTGGGGGAGAGAATTAAAGGGGTAGAGGGAAAAGAGACTCTTGGGATAAGATAAGAACAGTTTAATAACTAAACTACAATAAAATTGAAAAAAAATTGTAGTAATAATAGTAATAATAATAATATATA